AGGGGTGGAGAATGATTGGAGGGCCCTGGTGCCCACAATGCTGATGGGAAGCGGGGGTACCCTGGGACAGGTGAGGTCCCCGTTCTCTGACTCTGTCCCTCTGGTCTGGGCTCAGAAGGGGGCGAATGAGCACCCAGCTGCTTGGGTCTTGGTGGGAAGAAGCTCTTTCCTCAAGGAAAACTGAGGTGTTGGGAGAGAGGCCGAGGGCCCCGCTGCACCCACATGACTCCGGGTCACATGAGAAGGAGTCTCCCCACCGCCCTCACGTGGGCTTGAAGGGCAGGGGAAGCAGGACCACTCCCCGGAGCCCAGGAGGGCCCTATAATCCCCACGTGAAGCAGGTGTCTCTGAGAGCCCTCCCACCTGGGCTCCCTGTCCTGAAGTCTGTGCACCGGGTCCTGGGTTGGAAGGCGCCCGCGTGGGCCCGGGCCAAGTGCCCCTGGTTAGCTAATCGCTGAGGCCGGTGGGTCTGGCTGGGTCCCCGGGGCCAGTGGGGCCAGCTCATGCTCACGCTGGCCCTTCCCAAGACAAATCCAGCCATGCAGTGAGCGAGGCAAGCGGGGCTCCAAGCCCAGCGCCTCTTGTGGCTCTGAGGAGCCAGTGGCCAGAGCCAAGAGCTGTCCTCAGCCAGCAGAGCTCCAGGCAGGGTGGAGGGCTGCGAGCCGAAGCAGAACAGCAGGCTTCAACCCCAAGCCCAGAAATGCCAGTCGGGGCCCGGCCCGCCGCTGCCCGGCGAGCTGGTTCCCAGAGCCCCGCGGTTGTCCTGGGGCCGCGAGCTGCGCGGTGCACAGGCCCCGCGAGCCCCGCGCCAATCTGCTCTCTGCGGAGCTGCGGGAAGGCACTGCATGTCCACGGCCAGGTACCTGAGCCGGGTCCGTTTCCCGGTAATTCAGCCTGGGGAGCCTCGCCGGCGTTGCTGATGCCTCTGGCTTTGGTAAAGCGGCCTGGCTTTGCTCTAGGGGGCCGGGCAGGTGGACAGGAAGTCTGGAAAGTGCTTCCTCCGGGGCTCGGCGCCAGCCTCTCCCATGGAGCCTCCGCGGTCTGAGCGTGGCGGACGTCCCTGGGCCAGAACTTGATTGCCGATAACCTCCCCTGCAGCGTGCTGGGCCTCTGGGCCTCTGTCTGGGCCAGAGGGGAGGGTTCGGGGTAGCCTACTCCCGGCCGCTGCCCTCACGGGCTTCGCTTGGTTACTCGCAGGGACTCCCAATCCCGAAATTCCCGGTGTGGGACACGGGGCCCTTTCCCTCCTCCGTGTCAGGGAGACATTATAAGCACAGGACCTTGACACATCACACGGCCCCACGAAGTCATCGACAGACACATGGTCACCCCTGGGCTTCAGTTGGGGGGGGGGCGTCCTTCATTTTCTAGTTCAGGAGCTTCCCCAGAGGAAGTGAGGACAGTGCTGCCCAGAGCTGGGCGCGGGCTGCTTGCTTCCTCACCTGGTCCTGGGTTGGGGTGCCGGGGCTGCTGCCAACCTCCTCCCCCACCCCACCCCTCCCCTTCCCCGCAACTCCCTCCTTCCGCAAGTGCTGAGGGGTACGTGCTTGTCCTCTGAGCTCATGCCCGTTCCTTGCCCGACATGGTCCTGAGGTGCGTAGTCTCTCCACACTTGGGTGGCCTGTGGGAGGGAGGTCCCTCCCGTGTGAAGCCTCTAAGTGGGGGAGGAACCATTTAGAAGCAGCAGGCGGACGGGGTGGTGGGAAGGGCTCGGACCTCCAGCCTCTGGGCTGGGCCTGTCCGGGGCTCCCTGTCATGGCGGACCACATGGAGTCTGGGGCTTGGCCCGTGGCTGATTTTCCACCCTCACATTCCGTGGCCATATCACGGTCCCACCCTCACTTGAGGCTGCTGGCAGGAAGTCTGGTTGTGTGTGTGCCCTCAAGTACCGGATCCTGTCAGCGTTCTCCGTGGCGCAGCTGTTCAATCCATTTCCACGATGCAGCCGCCAAACTGAGCAGAAGCCTCATTTCCAAATGGAAATCTCCTTGGCAGTTTGGCAGGCACTGACCTTGCTATTAGCTCTACAGGCAGGAAGTTTCCTCAGGTTGCCTCTCTGCAGATAGAGGGACAGGATGATCAATGAGAAGAGCAGCGTTTTCTTCCTGAAGTGTGCTGCACATCTCCTTTGCCATCCATCCGCCACCCATCCATCCATCCATCCATCCATGCATCCATCCATCTGTCCATCCACCATCCATCCCTCCATTCGTCCATCCATCCATCCGTCCATCCATCTGTCCATCCATCCGTCCATCCATCCATCCACCATCCATCTGTCCATCCTCCATCCACCATCCATCCATCCATCCATCCATCCATCCATCTGTCCATCCATCCATCCATCCATCTGTCCATCCATCTGTCCATCCACCTGTCCATCCACCATCCATCCATCCATTCGTCCATCTATCCATCCACCATCCGTCATCCACCCACCCACCCACCTGCCCATCAACTCACCCATCCATTCACACATCCACCCACCACCCAGCCACCCAGCGATTCATCCATCCCCCCATCCATCCATCCATCCATCCATCTGTCCATCCATCCATCCACCATCCACCCACCCATCATCCATCCCATGAACATTTACGGGGTGCCTGCTCTCTATGTACCAGGCCCTGAGGAGTGAACACAACTCACAGCAGAGAGAAGAGAGACAGGTGATCAGAGAACATAATACACTGGTAATGAAGAGAAGCGTAACAAGACTTTTCTTGTTGAGACAGGTGTGTTAGCAACAGTAGGAGGCCCATTGCCCTGAGGCCATACAGGACGCCTGTGGGGTCCTTCTTCGGTGTCGCCGTTCTGCACCTCTGGCGGCTATTTCTCCCGGTCGGGACTGTACTGTCCAGGACGACCCAGCTCGCCTGTCTCAGGGCAGCAGCATGGTGAGTGATGTTAATATTTTTCTGTGTGCCGTTGTTTCCCAACCACCCTCTCAGCCACCGAGAATTCTGTTTCCCATAGAAATCGACGCTTGACGTCTCCCGAAGCTTTCTCTTTCTTCCGTCTGCTTGCAGAGTTGGGGATTGTTCCTCTGTGGAGTCTGGGGCCATACCCTTGTCTAAATCAGACAGCCCGGCAGTCTTCATGTGCTGCGTCCAGGAAACCCTGAGCAAAGGAGGGAAGGAATCCAACCTCACGGCGTGGTGGGCACAGGCCACGCCAGGACGTTGGACTGAATGGTTTCCTTAACATTTTTGACATAACCTCTCAGTTCCAAGACTCGGAGACCTGGCGTATTCACCAGAGGAGTCTCCCTCTGTGTTGATGAGAAATCACCTGGAGTGTTTTTCCGCAAAGCAAACCCTTCCTCCCGGACTTGAGTAAGAAAGACCCAGGACGTTCAACTCATCTATACACAATCCTTCCGGTGACCCCAGGCCCAAGCCTCTGTCAGAGCCGGACCCTGGGGTCACGGTGGTCCCTTCCAGGGAAGCCGAAGGCTCCACGGGGGCGGCCACCAGAACAGGTGGGCACTGGTGAGCCAGCAGCCACGGTATGAAGCAGCAGAAGGAAGGGGCTGGCAAGGCAGGGGCCCCCGCTGGGGTCTCCAGCCAGGCTAGAGTGCATGTCCTCCCATATCTGCCCTGTGCCTTCTCTGTCCACTCACCAGTGACCATGCTATGCTGGCCCATCTCGCCCTATGGCCTTCTTCCTAAGAGCAGTGCTCAGAATGCCATGGAGAGCAAGGCCTTTTGGTTTGGGAGCTCAGACCTGTCCATGCCTTGGCGACAGGGATCCAAGACCCCTGCCCCATGTGACCCACGGCCCGCAACTCAGGTCCAGGATGTAGTTGGTCAGGACCAGGCCAGTGATGGCTGCAGAACTCCCGGGACTGGAGTGCGCCTGCCGGGAGGGCCCTGGGCATTCCTGGCCGAGCCAGGTCCTGCAGCACCAAGGGAGAGGACTGCGTGCAGACACAGCCTCTGTGCCCGGCCGGGGCGGGGCGTGCTTGACTCAGGGTCCCTGAGCAGGGCTACCCTCTGCCACACGTGCACACAGACAGACGTGCTGGGACAAAGCGAAAGACTGACAATAACTTGCATCTGGATGGCCAGGGCACTAAGGACGTACTGCAAAGCCGCACGGCAGGGCACTCCACGCTTTCCTGCCTCAGCACATCGTCCGGTAGCACCCACTCGCACCCCGTGTTCTGTGGGCCCGGCCGGGCCCTCCGCTCGGGGTCCCACGTGCTGAAGCTGCGGTGTCCCCAGCTGGGCTTGTCCCCGGAGGTTCCGGGAAGAAGGCGCTGCCTGCTCGTCCAGGCTGTGCTCAGGGTCCAGGTCCTTGCGGCTGTAGGGCCGAGTGTCCTTTCCTCGCTGGCCGTGGTCGGGGGTTGCCCCCAGCATCGCTGGCTGGGGGCCTCTGTTTCCATCTTGGGAGCCAGCAAAAGCGGCTGGGTCTTTCCCACACACGAGTCTCTATGACTTCCCAGCCTGCCTCTGGAAATGCCCGAGAGAGCGGAAAGCAGAAACCGCTCTGCTTTTAAAAGGTCGTGTGACTATTTGGGGCCTCCCTGGAAATCCAGGATAGTCTCCCCACCTTGATGTTTACGGCCTTAAACACATCTGCAAAGTCCCGCGCCCTGCCACATGCCGCGGACACACGCTCACAGGTTCTGGAGGTAGGGGAGTGGACGGGCCGCCTCCCACAGGCACCAAGCAGCCGTCCCCAGAACGAGCACGTCTGCGGTGCGATGACAGAGGGCCCGCTGCTGCGGGTGGAGGCGGAGGACCGCGTGCTGACAGAAGGGGGACCCGCTGGCCCGGGTTCTCGTGCCCCTGGCTTATCCCGCCCACAGAGCAGAGGCGCCCCCGCCCCGGGGCCCTTTGGGGGAGGCCCCGAGGGGCAGCAAGGGCATCTCTCCGCACCAGCTCTGCCCCTCTTTGGTGCCGTCAGTACGGGTTAGGGCTCACACGCAGACACGCTGATTGGGAAGCTACGCTGGGCTCCCTGGCATGTCATAACGGAAAGTCATTTAAAGTCACCTACAGCCACTTGCCTTTGAAGAAAGGGAACTCGGCCTGGTGTTCGGGGCGGCCAGCCATGAGGCCATCGTCACCGTCCCTCCGGTTCCACACGGCGTGGCTTTCTGGGTGCGTGAAAAGCCATTACGTGCCGGCTCGCCTCTCCTGCCGCCTGGGGAGGTGTGCCGGAACGTGCCTGGGGCGGGGGGGGGCTGTGCCGGGCTCCCCGTTAATTTTGGGGGCGTCCGCATCTTGGGGTGCAGCACATATCACTCCCCACCCCGGGGCACGTGGGCTCTTCGCTGAGAAGACGCCACGTCCGCGGGTGTGGGAGGAAGTCGAGAATCAACCACTCAGTAGCTTCAACCGGAAACCGGCCAGGGACCGTGGGGAGGCACCGGGCGCCAGGCACGCGGAGCCGGTGTCACTCACGGCATGTTGGCGAAATACAACCAGAAACGCAATCTGCTAGCCGGGCACACCTCTCCACGAAGGTGGAAGAGAAAGAGAACAGTTTTATTATCAAATGAGTGTGTAGCTTGCGTCACGGGCCATCCGCCAAGGGCTGCCAAAGACAGAAGAAAGTGCACCCTTTTCCGGAGCCGAGGAAACACCCCCATCACCTCGTTCTTCAGCTCGCGTAGACACTTCTCAGGAAGGGCCTGACAGCACCTGCCGTCACGTACGGCCCGTCCCCCTCCACCTCTAACTGCGGTGACCGTCTGTGTTAGCTCGCCGGCTTTATCGGAGGAAAAATAAACTCCCGCACCCTCACGACAGGACAGAGTTTGGGGGTGAGGCGCCCACGGACGCCGGGCTCCTGCCTCTCGGGGGCTGGGGCAAGGGGTGCTCCCTTCCCTGGGGATTAATTTCAGAGAGACGGCTCCCAGGTCCTTGAGAAAGACAGTCCTGGGTTGTAAGCTGGAGGGAGGTTTATTTAGCTTTTAGAAAGATTTATATACCTCTCAAAGGAACGCACCCCTCCTTTGAGAGAGAATTTGCAACTTCCAGTTTTGTAGAGTCGACGCTGGAAGGAAACGGAGGGAGTCTCTCCTGTTAGCGCTGGGGGGGGGG